AAACTATAAATTGTACTGTGTAGAATAGTTTTTAGTATTAGTAATGATTTTGAAGTCTATAATAACAGCCAATAATGAAATAATTGACAACTGTTATGAAATGACATTTAAATATGTACGAAATGACAAGTTAATCATTTTTATTTATTTTTACAATGAAGAAGTAAGTGTTTAAAGTTTGCTTTTTGTGTTTGATATGTGTATGATATTAATTAATGATATTGCAGGGATGTTGAGAACAAAGCCAAAGATGATGACGATTACAATCCGCATTTACATCGCGAAATTCCACACGGAACCAAGTAAATCACATATAAAATCGTATTCAAGACTGCAAAAAAAAAACTTCTTTCAGTTATTTCGAAACCGTGGTTAACATGATCAAAGGAGCTTTAGGAACCGGAATTCTGGCAATGCCTAACGCCTTCTTCAACTCTGGTTTAATGGTCGGATTAATTGGTACACTTGTGATAGGTTTCATATGCACTTACTGTCTTCACATACTGGTAAAAATCATGATAATAATCCAAATACTTTTTGAATCAAACTCAGATTTCAGTTGAAAAACCAATACAGATTATGTAAAAGGTTGAAAGTTCCATTCCTCACGTACGGTGAATCAATGAAATTCGCGATGAAAGATTGCCCGTCCGGATGTGTTCGGGCAATGGCAGGTTTTTTCGAGTAAGTTTGTAAAATTTCTAAATCTCTATTTATCAAGTGTTTATACTGTAGAGGTATGGTGGACTTCTTCATAATCGTTTATCAATTGGGCATTTGCTGCGTTTACGCAATTTTCATCCCTGGCAACGTTAAATTGGTTGTTGAAAAATTCACTGGATTCGAGATGTCCTTGATCTTTTACATACTGATATTCCACATCCCTTTGATCCTGATTTGCTGCATCAGGACTTTAAAGGTCTTGGCCATCTTCTCGATGATTTCTAACATCACTATGCTCGTAGCGTTCACAATCATCGGGTATTTCGTCTTCCAAAATTTGCCGAACATTAAGGAACTGCCGGCATTTAACAGTTTCTACACTTTACCGTTGTTCTTCGGTACGACGCTCTTCGCGCTTGAAGCGGTTGGAGTGGTAAGTGTTAAGGAAATGGATTTAAGAAAGATTTTAAAATAGGTTTTTGAAATAGATAATGTCGCTGGAAAAAAACATGTTGAAGCCTTGGCAATTCGTAGGATGGTTTGGGGTTTTGAATGTATCCATGGTCATCGTGACGTTGCTTTATGCAGCTGTTGGATTCTTTGGATATTGGAAATACGAAGAGGAAACGAAGCCAAGTATTACATACAATATGCCACAAACACATTAGTAAGTTTGTTAATCTAATATAAGAAATAATAATATTGATTGTGTGGAAATTTTCTTTGTAGTTTATCGGCTGTCGTCCAGATTCTATACGCCTTAGCAATTTACCTCACTTTCGGCTTACAAGCTTACCCACCTATGAGATACTTAATCGGATACGCGGCCATCACTAAGAAGTATCAGGAGAGCACGAATCAATGGATTATCGATCATTTAATCATCGTGATCTCAATATCTTTTGCCAGTAAGTTTCAATCAAATAAATCTCTGTTTTAATTACGCTAATTTTTCAGTTCTTGCAGCAGCGGCCATCCCGCTTTTAGCATTATTCATCTCTCTATTAGGAGCGTTCTGCTTATCAGCTTTAGGCTTCTCTTTTCCTGCTTTACTGGAAATATTCGTGAGGTGGCCTGACTCGGATTTTGGTAAAGGCGGAATCGTTATGCTTCAGGATCTGTTCTTCATCTGCTTCGGATGCTTCGGGTTGGTGGTGGGAACGTATTGTTCATTATCGGAGATAGTGATAGCATTGAACAATCAAACAACAAGCAGTTCTTAGGTTTCGTGCGCGTCGTATATTTATGTACTTTTATATACATCTATATATATATAAAAAAAAATACCTTAGTTTCGAAACAAAACATGTCTTAAAAAGTAATAATAATAGTAACCACTTATAAATAGATTTGTTTTTTACAGTATTAATATCTAGCCTAAATGTATATCACAAAAAAATAAAGTGTCATGTAAAACAGAAATAAATACAAGAGCTACGAAAAATATAACCCCCGGAGTAAGTGTGCGTTTGATTTCTTTAATTATCGTTTCATCCGTCGCTAATAGCTCAACTTGAAGTCGCAGACTAACGAGAAATGATCCGAAGGATAGTTGTTGGATGGAACGCGATCCGGGCCGATCTCATCGCCTGTCGGGAATTCCAGCACTGCGTCCACCTCGAGCTTGTCCTTAGTGTAGAAAACGTAGTCGATGGTGTGACACACCTCGCCTTCCTCCCTGATCTTCCACGTCGTGTACGGTGGTTCTTCGGAGCTCTTGCAATCCGCGTACGCGCTCGACAAATTGAATTTGTTGTTCAGGAGTGTCGAGTAGATTGGTTCTGTTGGTTCCGCGTTGAAATCGCCGCAAAGGATGACAGGACGATCACCGCAGTGTGTCGATAAGAAGTTCAGAAGATCCCTTCCTTGCTCGTTGCGTAAAGTCGCCAACAATGCACCCTTTCTTGCCTTCAAGTGTGTAGTTACCACGCAGATTTCCTTTCCAGTTTCTAGCACTTTCAAGATCATCAGCATAGCCACCTAAAACCATAACAATAAAATTACAATCAATTTCATTAAGGTTACCTCTCAAATAATCGAAATCCCGACAATAGTGGAAATCTTGACAACCATAATTTCAAAATCCCGAACATTTTAGCGGATTTCAGCAAGCCTCATTCAATTTTGTCAATGGGCCACATATATTTATATAATTTAGTTGCATTATAGAAATAAAAAAAATTGAGCGTAAAATTGTTGAAATGATCTATAATATACATATATATATAAGGTATACAGTGATGAAGTGAGAACTTCTCTTCCCAGTTTCTCTCCTTCACCATTAAATATCCACACGCACAAATTTTATCACTGCCTTTTTGTGACAGAATTATTTCACAAATATTCCATTGATCATTCTAAGCCTTAGACAATGAAATATCAATGTTCTTTTTTTATTGACGTATTAAGTAATAACGCTCATTTTTAAATTCTTACGTTTTAAGTCTATATCAAATAACAAAAGATACTGTCGAGATTATAGTTGTCGGTATTTTGATTGTCGGGATTTCGGTTGTCGGCATTTTGATCCGAACCGCAAATAATCGTACCTGATTGCTTTGCACTCTCCAGATTTCCAATATCCTCGACTCCTTCTTCACCAGTTCGTATTTGTCTTTGCGGTAGAAGATGGCGCAGCCGTCTGGACCGTTGTTTCCGTCTATGTAGATGCACGGGGAGTCCGGTTTCGGGAAGAACATTCCCGTGTATCCTTGAGTATTCAACACGTATCGCAAGAAATTAAAATGATCCACTTCCTACAAAAACACATAAAAAACAAACAGATTAATTATTATCTCGACGGTTACATCACTACTCCATAATTTAGCAATAACGGTTCGATGACGTACTTGTAAGCAGATGATGTCCGGGCAATATTCGATGATTTCCTCGATCATGTGGAATCTCCTGTTGTGCCATTCCAAAGCCTCGTCTGGGCATTTCACGAAGTTATCGTTGAACTGACCGAGAGCTACAAAAAAATAAATAAACGTTTAGTTATTGATGAAAAACAAATATTCGAGAATTGACTTACATTGTGAAAGGACGTTCCATTGGAAAATGCGCAAAGACAGAGGATTCGAAATGTAATCGCTGCAACCTGAAAGCAAATATCAAAATTATCAAATCATAATTAAAACAGTTAATAATCTAGAGAATTTTCAAAAGTTAGTTCATAAGTTTTGTAGTAAATTAGAGATTTCATTAAAATATTTTATTATATAAGATTTCTTGTATAGTAATTAAAAAAAAACTATTACAAATTGAACTTCCTAGAAACTGCGCTTGTAGAAAAGAATGCAAATTTAATAGATATATTTGACAAACATTCTGAAATTGTCATCTACATGTTAAGTTCCAATCCATCATATAATAATAGGAAGAGTATTTTTTAAATTTGTTTAAAGTTCAATTTTCATTAAAGATTCATTAACATGAAAATAAAAGTTATGTAACCAAATTTAACTCACTTTTTTTTAAATTTGAAATAATGAAATTACCTTCAGAAACTCCACTTAATTTGCGAGCCTTCAGGCTGTAAGTCAACATATCATCATTGCTTTTGGCCCTCCTGAAGGGTCTCTTCACCATCGGGTATAAATCGTACTGTTTCTGGCAAAATTGCAGCAACTCCTGACGACTAATGTTATCCGGAAAACTAACATCGTGATCCAAAACGTCGTCGTTTATAATCTTCGGTGATGACGAAAAGCTGCCCATTCTATAAGAAAAAAAACCAAACAAATCATGAGTAATTTGCAAAAAAATACAAACAATAAATTTTTGCAACGAGATGAAAGTTAATTTTTTTTTTATAATTATTATTATTACCTCTCCAAAATTTTCTTTTGCATTTTAACATTTTTCAGAACTTTATTCTCGATCTCTTTGATTTCAACGTCGATCACATTCATCTTCGCAACCAGTATTAAACGAAAATTACAGAGAGCACAGCATTTTTATACACAGACGAAATATGTAAAAATGTTGCGCAAACAAAGAGCGAACAAAACAAAAAGAAGATGAAAAAAAAAAACACTAACCGCGTCTGGCGCTCTTCGCAGATTTCTATAGAATAAATGCATACGCATAAAAGGGTAAACAAATGGGTGTTATCAGTCAAATCGGTGAAAAGATGCAAAGAAACAAACAAATAAATGGAGGAAAAAAATTCAAATGTAAAATTTAAAAAAAAAAAAAAACGCCAGTGCTGCTATCTATTCGTCCGCGCTGAAATTAGATTTGTAGCTTTCTATAATTAACCATAAACGTGACATGTCTACAATTCAGTGATTCAGCTATGGTTACATGCAGTTTGATCAAATGAGTTACAATCAGATTATTTTATCTATTTACCTATACCGTAAAACGCGTCTGAGAAGTTCCCTTAGTTTACTCATATATGTGAGGTATTTGGAAGGACACGAGAATCTATACTAATCTGATTCGTGTGTGTGTATATGTTTTTTTTTTGGCGCACCAGTTTTACGTTTATAGAATGAGAGATACAGTGTGTACCAGCGAGTGCCACCTATAACGATGATGATTTCGTGATAACTGTACATAGGCTCGCAGCGAATTTATAAACCAATCGTATTCAAAAGAATTTCAATCATAACCCTACTATATTCGATTGTTTGACACATGTCCAAACGAATATTAAAAACAAAAAAAATGAGAAGGAAGAAGAAGAAGAAGCGAAACAATTGAAAAGTTTGTTGGCCCTCCGGATCGATTCGATCACCTTGAAGCAATTAGCTGATCAGCATAAACCACGAAAACAATAAATTAGCTGAACAGGATGTTTTTGTTATTTATTTATTTATTTTTTTCTTAGTTTAGAAGTAATAGATGATAAATTATTAACCTTTCCTGATTTAACATATGTAAACGTTTATTTTTTTCAAACGATGTTACGGTCTATTTTGTGTACAAATTGAAAGGTTTTTCCTTGACGCACGTTTTACTACTGCTACTACTACAAAACAGATTCGTAATTGAAGATTTACGTACGCTTAAACATAACAACAAATTAAATACAAAACGCTTCTTGTTTTCCTCATAATTATCAATTTTAATTAAAAATGAAACAAATACCTTTAAAAACATCGCACACCTGTCAATTGAAATTACTACATTTTTTTCATATAATAAAGGATTTGTTTATAAAATTTATTTAATTAAGACTATGAATTAATTTCATTTAAATTCTAATTAAACGAATAGTTTCATCTATTGATTGAAAGTATCTAGACGAAAGCGCGCAGTAAAACGACGATGTCAAATTTGGTGATATGGGTAATTCCATATTCACTCTAATGCTTTAGGTTACTGACAGCTGAGCAGGTTTACATAGAAATAATTTGATGATATAGGTATTTCCATATCCACTCTAGCGCCTTAGGTTCGGAGAGTTTGATTTTGGACGTGCTTTAAAAATACATACAAATTCTCGTACTTTTGACGTGGTTGTTGTCCTACGCGCTTTTGTCCCATACGTTTTTGTTACTGCACGCTTTTGTCCCATGCGCTTTTGTTACTGCGCGCTTTTATTACGGTGTCCTATGAAATATGTAATTAAAGTTTTTTTTATGATTAGATATGAAATTATCAAAGAAAGCAACTGTAATATTATCTAACAAACAGTTTTAATGGAAGACTAAGAAACTCTTATTAAAATTATTTAAAATATATATATATAATTAGAGTTATTGCAATAATAGTTTATTAGACAATATTATCTTTAATTGATATTAAGAGATAGATAGAGAAAACGAAAGTATTTTCTTCAATGAATTAGAAATTTTACAAAAAAAAAATCTTGACATATTTTTTTTCATATGATTTATAATAATTCTTTACTAATCAATATAATTCTTAGAAAATTATTAATTATCATAAAATTCAATTAACTCAATGATTTGTTCATAATGAAAACAAATTCAGTAATCTACAAATGGAATTATCTGTTATTAGATTTAGAAATTGGAAAAAAAATTAACACATTAAGATTAAGTCTACATTATTTGTAAGATTTGGACGAAATAACTTGATAACAGTGCTCTAATAAAGTTTTGGATCCTTCATCATAAATTAGGTCAAATTCAAATAATTACATCGTTTCAATGAATGAAATAACAGTCTTCGGTTTCGTCATTTCGATTGGATTCACTTCCAAAATAATTCAAATTAATTGCACAACTTTTACTCAAAACCAGATTGTTATTAGGAAAAAAAATAACGTCTGATGAATAAACTACAGTTTTTCTTTGCTAGAATAACAATAAATGCTCGAGTTATAAATAACTCTCAAGCATATTTGGAAACTGGAATTGCCTTTTTATATGTGCCTCCAGATTTAGAGAATAAATAAAATAATTACTTTCTATTTCATTGAAAATCATTAGAATTCAATTGTTTTCTCAATTATCAAAGTTTATAGCTATTTTTTGTAAATTAATTGTTTATTTTCTTGATTTATTAATTATATATTAGAATAAACGAAATAATTGCATAACCGGACTGTTTGAAACCGTACTAAACGAGGAATTAAATACATACAATAATAAACCACACAAAAATATATTGTATAAAAGGAAGTACGATGATTTATGTATTAAAAAAAATTGATTTTGGATTCACTATAGTCCGGTTTTGACTATTCTGAATCCAGACTAATTAAATACCGTAGGAGGTATTGCTGTAATTAGAATTCATTGGTATTCCGAATTAATAAATGTTATTGTTTGCACTTTTATAAATAAATTTGGTGATTCTAATATTGTTGTAATTAAATGAAAAACTAAATGATTTTCTCAAATAATTTTATAAAGTTATGATTATTCGGATCATTTTCGTCATCATTATTATCAAAACAATGTAGATAACTTAGTATATTTGTATTATGGACTTTAATCAGCAGATTCCCGGACTGTTTGAATCAGGACTAACAGAAGAATTAAATAAAATGGAAATAATTGTTGTATAAAGTGAAATAAAAAACGATTAGTTTTGTATACAAAATATTTATTTATACTAATTTCTTAGTATTTACTTTTATTTTACTCAATTTTAATTTAGTTAATTTCAAAATTTTAATACCAGTGAATCCGGACTGATCGAAGCCGTACTATGTGAGGTATTGTTGTACACATTTTGCCCTTAATGAATGAATTTACATTCGATTCTATTATTTCTCCAGTGATTTCGATCCCATTCAAGTACTATTCTCCACACACGTTGCTTAACTTTAATAAGTTGTCAATCTCATTTATATGACTTTAATCAGGAGATCCTTTAGTTATCTACATTGTAAAACCCGGACTGTTTGAATCAGGACTAATCGAGGCTGTGTATAGTGAAAAAAAAACGATTATTTTAAAATTTAGTTAATTTAGACATTCTCATACCGGTGAACCCGGACTAATCGAGGAATTAAATACGTACAAAAACCACACAGATATTGTATACAAAGAAGAACGATGATTTATGTATAAAAAAAATAATTTTGTGTATTAATTTTTTTTTTGAATTCACTATAGTCCGGTTTGGACTATTTTGAATGCAGACTAAACCGAAGCCGCACTGTAGGAGGTATTGCTGTAATTAGAATTAATTGGTATTCCGAAATAATAAATGTTATTCTTTGTAAACTTTGCACTTTTATAAATAAATTTGGTGATTTTAATATAGCTGTAATTAAATGAAAAACTAAATAATTTTATAAAGTTGCACTTTTTAGTAAACTTATTCATAATAGCTATATTTTTAAATAGAAATATTTTGTCTAGTTTCAATTATGCGTTAATCAGTTGAAATTCAGCAGAATTTCAATACATTATCGATGTTGCAATATTTGGAACGAGAAACTACAAACTTAATTACATTGGACAACCAAATTGTAATAACTGTAACTAAATCTATTTTTGGGTGTAGGAAATGCAAGGCCAAGTGTCGCGTAAACACGCGAAATGCGTCTGATATTATTGTAACTTGACTTTTGTTTTTCGAAAAAAACAAAAAAACAAATGGTATAACGATTTTCGGTTTTAATTTTGTGATGAATTATTTAACATGTATAATTAACAAAATATGATTTTCTTTAAATGTTAGTAAATGTAAAGGAAAATTAATTGACCTAAATAATGCGTATTGGAAATTGAGGTGTTGTTAATGATCGAACGGAGGAACAAAGTACATTGTTGTTATTGTGTGATTGGAACGGTTGAACTTTAGTGTAAACAGTTAATAATATAGCTTAATGGAGGTCAAGTTAAAGGTTTTAGCGACTTCCTATTGTATGAACTTGGGTGTATAGCAAGAAGTAAGCGTGTTCTCTCACCTGGGCAAGGTCACTAGACGAGCGTATCTTCTCACCGAAAGGACGAGGCAAGATGACCGGAAAGCAACCATCTTCCGAACCTTTTATTTTATATTCTTTACTTTCTGTTGTTGTTGTTGTTGTATCTTAAAATCTCGTTGGTGAATCAACAAGAGAAGAGTTTGCACACTCTGTTGAGAGTTCAACAGCACTATATACTAAACTCCTCGAAGGGGGTGTAAGTGAAGTAGATCTTCATACAAGAAACGCTCATGATCACTAAATCTATCTGAAAATCAATCGATGTGAACGTTTGGTGAACGATCGTCGCATACAATTTGTATTATAAATAGATTCGGAATTCGCTCATTTGCAAAACGAGTGCTACAAGGTTAGTAAAT